GAGCTCCAGGATTGGCCTGGTCACAGGAAAGAACAGGCATGATGAAATGGTTGAGATGTTTCAGTCCCACCCCCAACGTCTGGGGAGGGAAGATGACCTGAATGTTAAGTTGATCACCAATGGCCAATGATTTAATCAATCATGCCTACATAATGAAGACACCATAACAACCCCAAAGGACAAAGTTTGGATAAGTTTGTGAATAGCTAAACACATAAGGGCTTCCAGAAAGGTGAACAAGAAAACATCCATATGCTGGGTGAGTGGCATACTTCAACTCCATGGGGACAGAAGCTCTTATGTGCTTGGAACTCTTCCAGACTTCATCTTCTGAATCTTTTCATCTGGCCGTTTGTACTCTAAAATATCCTTTGTAATAAACCATTAAATGTAAGTTAGTATTTCCCTGAGTTCTATGATCTGCTCTATCAAATTAAATGAACCCAAGGAGGGGCTTTGGAAATCTCAATTTATAGCTGAATGGTCAGAAATATAGCCAAAATAACCTGGGGCTTGTGATTGGCATCAGAAATGGCATTCATTCTTATGGGACTGAGCCCACAATCTGTGTGATTTGACACTCTCTCCAGTTAGACTGCATGATTGCCAGAACAGTTCTAACTGGTCCTTTTCTGCTGATAATAGGATGTCAAGTTTATTTTACAGACGGAGAACCAAGAAGTTGCAGCTGGAGCATGTACACAAAAGACTTCAAGTTTGAATAACAACCAAAACTTAAATCTCACCCTCCAACTATTCTTGTTGAATTGTCTGTTTTTCCTTTCTGTTTTGTCAGTTTTTCCTTCTTGTATTTTGGGGTTACGTTGTTAGATGCATACATGTTTATAATTATTCTCTTCCTGATAGATTGACCCTCTGAATGGAAAAAAACAAACTCTATTTCTCCCACAATACCTTCACAACACACTTCTGACACCATATGTGTGGGGATTTTCCACACCATCAAGCAAGCAATCAGTTCTGCAGCAGACCTTAACTAGCAATGCTGTAATTCAATTCAATTCTGACACTACTGTTAGCAAGCAAAGGACTCACTTCTAGATGCACAAGATTCCTTAATGGAATCAAAAGATTGAAATGTAACCAGACCCTAAACGCTGGAATACTTTCAAAAGTGAGGGGTCAGTTATCTAAGAATGCTTGATTACAAGATCCTTTTCCATGCCTTACCATAAATTGTATTGATTGAAGTCTTTTTTTTTTTTTTGAGAGTCTCGCTTTGCCACCCTCAGTAGAGTGCTGTGAAGTCACAGATCACAGAAACCTCAAACTCCTGGGCTTTTAAGTGATCCTCTTGCCTCAGCCTCCTGTGTAGCTGGTTCTCCAGGCACTGACCACAACACCCGGCTATCTTTAGAGACAGGGTCTTGCTCTTGCTCAGGCTAGTCTGGAACTTCTGAGCTCAAGCAATCCACCCATCTTGACCTCGCAGAGTGCAAGGATTACAGGTGTGAGCCATCATGCCTAGCCATGACTGAAGTCTTTTCAATCAAAAGGTGCCCTGTCAACACTCTTGCTTACCAATGTGTCTACCAACCCATAACACTTGCCCTAAATTCCAGATCAGGGAGATAGATTTGAGCATTGCCTCCTATTTCTTGGTTAGTCAACTTGCAATAAAGCTTTTCCACTTCTCAAAAATCAGTGCCATAATATTAGCTTCTATGTGCATCTAGAAGTGAGCCCTTTGCTTGCTAACAGTAGTGTCAGAATTGAATTGAATTATAGCATTGCTAGTTAAGGTCTGCTGCAGAACTGATTGCTTGCTTGATGGTGTGGAAAATCCCCACACATATGGTGTCAGAAGTGTGTTGTGAAGGTATTGTGGGAGAAATAGAGTTTGTTTTTTCCATTCAGAGGGTCAATCTATCAGGAAGAGAATA